AATAGACCTGTTGTCTCTTTCCCTCCTGGAAACACCGCCCTCAAAGGCGATCTGACCCGCGGGGTGAGCCGATTCCATGGGCCAGATGGTGCCACAGCCCTGCGAGCCCCCATTCATCCAGGACGGGGCAGAGCGGACTCCACCTGGGCCAGGTCTGGACCAGGGCCTGTCTGTGCACAGCCTCACGCTGAGAATACTTTTTATGTTTTAAAGGGGTCGTTAAAAAATAATAATAAGACTGTGACAGAGACCACGTGTGACGCACAAACCTAAATCATCTACTCTCTGGTCCTTTACAGAGTTTGTAAGTCCTGGGTCTACATGTAACCTACGAAGTGGGGAATAAGGAGCCCCTTCAGCTGCACGTCTGCCCTGATTCAGTCTCTGCCTCCCTGGACAAATCATCCTGCCATCCACGGTATCTGTCTTATTTTCTACAATTTTCAAGGATCTTGAGTTACAAAATGTATCTTTTCTGGGATGAGAGAAAGCTGCTGTGGCTGAGTACTACCCAGTGGGACACCAGTGGGAATCTGGAAACACCTCTGGGGTAGAAAGTGAAAGGAACTGGGGAGTTGTCCACATACAAAAGAGATGTGAGAAAACGAAAAAGGTTAATTTCATAAACTCTAAGGACAAGAGCCTAATTAGAAAATAACACTGCGACAGGAAGTGTTTAGAGAGTGTTTGCTGCAAAGGGGTAACAAAAAGGTACCTGAGAGGAGAACGCCCTTTTCTCCGACCACAGTGTTGAACCCTTGAGGGAAATGTCGGATGAAAGCAGCTGCATTGGCTACACCAGCCACTTTCTCTACCTGCTCGGCCGTCACCGAGGAAGGGTCGTCTGCACCATAGGCAATGTTCTCCGCAATTGAGCAAGAAAACAAAATTGGTTCCTACACATTGGAAATAAAACGTATTTATTGCAAATTGCAACAGTCTAGTAAATACAGTGGAGCTTAGTACAATACTTACAGCTAAGACACTAAACAGTTCCCAGAGAATATATACTGTTTTTCTGGTTCATTCTCCATAAATATACCCCATGGGCCATTAAAAAATTCATGCATTAGCACGAGCACGACTGCCTGTATCACCTGTAGGTCCCCCACTGCAGGACACGGGGTCCCACAGTAGCCACCTGCAAGCGTCCGGTACAACAGCAGGTGCTCTGTAAACACAAGTCCCCCTCCCCGAGGAGGACCCTGAGCCTGTCTGCATTCTCCAGCTGCCTGCCTTCCAAGGGCAATGGGAGAATCCATTTCTATCTATCACTTTTTGAAATACACACAGAGCAGACGGGAACTTGGCATTTGGACAGAGCTATTCTGTGGAATAGTCCTAAAAAGCAAATGAACTCCCAGCTTCTCTCTCCCTCCCTAATAAGGCTGTGGCACTGCCCTTACCCTTGCACCACTGAGCCAAGCCCCCCACCAATGGAGTGGTGCTGAGGGAAGGCTCATTAGAGGAAGAGGCTCAGCAGTCGGGGTGCTTGGGTTTGCCTGCTGTGCATGAAGCTTGGTGATAAAAATACCAATAGCTGTGTCAAAACTCCCCTGCACCGAGGGGTCCTGCGAAAGCAGCCTAATCAAAGACACTGCATTACATCAAGGTTCTTGAAATCTGCAGCCTCTTTGCAAGGAGACCCTGGCTCTGGCCACAGCCTTTGCTTGCTTGTCTCTGAAACCCATTATGCAAAACAGTAGACTGGCTAGTAATGAAAATGAGAATTGAGGACAAGCCAGAAGAAGCTAGACAGTTGTATCTTTTTCTCCCCAATCTTCTAGACTATCTGCATTACAAAGTAATGCCAGTCCCCAGCTTCTGATAAAGTCAGTGCTTCGAGTGGCTAAAATATTTAAGGTTTTCAGGAAACAGCACTATTTACAAACCTAAACAACATCTAGAAAACTTCCATTCCTTTTCTTTTGAAAGGTTCAAGACCAAGAAAAAAGCAAATGACAAAAGCAATTTTAAAAGAAAATGTAATAAAAATGGAGCCCTCTCCTCCTACCTGACTCACTGTCCCAATCTTGGATCTCAGCCAGACCGGATTTAGCTGACGGATGTCACGGCCATCAAGACTGATCGTTCCTTGCAGAGAAGGGAAGAGTCACTGGGTGTCATGGGGCCAATGACTTATGTAAACACAGAAAGGCTCTTGTGTGAAAATTCCAGACTCAGTTTTTTAAAGATTAGATACTCAAAAAAAAATTTCCAAACAAAATCTAAAACCAACGTATTTTAGGGAATTTCGGAGCTAAAAGGGACTTTTCTGGATCGTCCACGCCTACTATCTCCCTGCAGTGGTTAGATGACTAAGCCCACCTAGCTCATCCATCCAGTTCGCCTTCCCGAGTAAGCACAGCTGGAGAGTCTGCTGTCTGCAACTAACACTCTGTTTGACATGGTGGCAGAGTGTTTCAACAGTCAGATGTAACTCTGTGACCTCAGCTGACAGAATTACCTCTACACCTTGAGGGAACACAATCATGCTTCCGAATTACAATGACAGTGACCTACCAAGAAATCCCATTCCTTCTCAGTTAGGTGTGTGGCATTATACAAGCCAGCTGTAAACTTTCATAAACCTACAAAAACCTGAGGTCCTGACTTAAAAAGTGTAAGTGTTCTATAGGCTATACAAGGCAGGAATGTAAGTGTAGTTGCTTTTCTCCTTGATTTATTCACTGTGATGAAGAAACTAGAGACTTAGTATTTTGACTTGATTTGCATCCCACTCACTAGGATTTTTCTAAACTCAGAATTTTACAGCAAGTAGAGGGTAAACCAAGGCAGTGATTCCAGAGGCAAACAGTGCAGTAATACCCATTTTAATGCACTTGGTGGTTCTGTGGGTCAGGATCTGTGAGTCAGATAATTACCTGGCACATAACCAGCTCTCACACTGTTGTAACCAAAAAGACCATAAGACATACTCTTTAAATTCATGGTTTTATTTTATACTGACAATTGTTTTCTTGCTGAGAAATACCATTCTTTTTTTAAAAAAATATTTATTTATTTAATTTTATTTTGGCTGCGTTGGGTCTTAGCTGCGGCATGCGGACTCTCAGTTGTGGCATGCATGTGGGATCTAGTTCCCTAACCAGGGATCGAACCTGGGCCCCCTGCATTGGGAGCACAGAGTCTTAGCCACTGGACCACCAGGGAAGGCCCCATCATTGTTTTCTTAATCCCAAAACAGACTATCTTCTCTGATACAAAGAAGGATATCAACTCTCTAACTGTGTGGTGATGGATGTTAACTCGACATGCTGTGGTGATCATTTCACAGTATATACATATATGGAATCATTATGCTCTACACCTGAAACTAATATGTTGTAAGTCAACTGTATATTTTAAAAAGATATAAAGAAGTAAAATAATGTGTTCTTTGCTCTGAAAGCTGCTATAATCCAGTTAAAAATTAAAAAAAAAAAACCTGAATGAGAAAAATCCGTCAGAAAATCTCTACTACCACAAGAAAGCTTCAACGGAGCAGCAGCCTAGAAGTGAATCAGTGACGGCCACGTGCCCTGTCTGCACACCAGCCCCAGGCAGGAGGACCGGAGGGCTTCAGGGAGAGCCCGGGCTCCTGCAAAAGCTCAGGGCCGGCACAGAGTGGCACTTACTCATGGTGCTGCTGTGGCCGGAGGTGCTCAGCAGCCCCGAGGCACCTTCTTGGAGCCCCTCTCCCGGTGGAGGGAGCACCACACGGGAGACGAGGAGGTGGGGTTCAGGAAGTCACTCTGGACCTGAGTGGCGAACACAAGATATACAACGTGCCCGATGGGCCCTCTGTATGAGCTGCCATAGCCCTAAAAGTGAATCCTCTGTTTGGGACTTCCTTGCTGGGAACAAACCCTCTGCATGCAGAACTCGAGCACTGCACGGCCCCTGCGTAACCTGACCCTCCCTGGGGGCTCAGGAGAGGCCTCCCGTCCTACAACGTGCTCAGCCACTCACCAGCGCTGGCGTCGTACAACCTCAGCAGGAGAGAAATCACTGTTGATTTGCCAGAACCACTTGGGCCAACCAGCGCTGTGATGGATCCTGCTGGGATAGAAAGGCTGAAATCCTGGAATATGGGCACCTCTGGGCGAGCTGGATAGGCGAAACGCACGTTCTTGAACTCCAAAGCACCCTGGAAGCTCTTCTCGTTTAAAATGGCCCCCTCTGCAAGGGAAGATGGAGCTCCAGTCACTCAGGGCAAAGCTCAGGCTCACAGCGGAGCCCAGTGCCCGCCTGTCTGACTGCAGACGTGGCCCAGCATGGCGAGTCCTGGAGGCTGGGCTCTTCCCGGGCAAGTCAGGAGGCCTCTGACCAGCGCTTCCCTGAACCCGCTCTGCATCGGCAGTACAATCATATGCCCGCCACCCTGCTGGAGCCTCAGAGCCCCGAGAGGTAGAAGTTCCCATCCCAGTCTTACTGACGGGACGCCGAGGTGAAGAGGGGCCAGCCTGCCCGAGCCAACCGAGCCGTGGATGGAGCTTCCAGCCCGGGAGCCATCTGGGCGAGCCCAGTGGCCTTCTCCCTGTACGCTGCCTCTGCGGTTCGCTTGTCTAGGGTTTACCTCACCTTCTCTAAATCAATGTTTTGAGAGGATGATGATGAACAGGCAGGCGCTGCACAACAGCCCGGGAGCTAGACGGGGGTCAGAGGTCTGCTCTGTCCTGTGTAACCTTGCTCCTGACTTGGGAGAAGGGGCTCAGTCTCTCCCAGCCTGTCATAGTGGAGAATACTGGGCGTTCACTACTGACCTGGGGCCAACCGCCAGTACCTAGGGATCAGCGAGCAGCTGGCAGTGGCTGCCGCTCCCAGCCCCATCCCCCGAGCCCTTGGCTGGCTGGCCCAGGCCGCACAGCTGCCCCGAGCTAGCGCCGTTTCCCGGGAAGCAGCTGATGAAGGAGACAGCTCCAGCCAATTAGCACCAGCACCCTCCACCCCACCCCCGAAGCCAGGCAACTCAGAGGCTTTTATACGTGTGATCCCTCTTCCTGCCTCCCTCCCCCTGCCCGCACAATCGTCAAAAGCACCAAGGAAGAGAGTCTGGGCACTGGCCGCGCCCTTGCTATCTGCACCCCTGAGCTGCACTCACTTCTACCCTGCTGTCTGTGGTAGCAAATCGCCTGCAGGGAGGTAAACAGTGGCTGCACACTTTGTGGTCAGTCCCCACGCCTCCAGGGACGCCCTGGGGCCCCATGACAGCGCCCAGCAGCTGTGCTTCCTCACCGCCCACCCCACTGACGGCCCTGTCCCTGCCACATGCAAGGGACAGCGTCCCGCTCAAGTTCGTCCATCCCAAGTGGGGCAGGAAGCTGGTGTCACTGTCCGGAACCACATTTGTTTAATCCCAGCAAAGAGGAGCAAACCCGTTTCAGACCCACCATTGAAAGGAAGCTCTGGTTCTCTCTCGAGGAGCTCCCAGAGGCGGCCCCCGGCACCCAGGCCCTTCATCAGCTCTGAGTAGAAGGAGCTCAGACCTGAGGACGAGAAGCAAAGACTCACGCTTACCATAGATCTCAGTAACCTCAGCATGTGATTTTTTCTCTTTCTTTAAGAAATCAAGAACTTTCACCCTTTCACTTAAAGGAAGCACTTCATGGCTTCTCTGTGGCATATCTGAATTGCCAGCATCACCACTCTTGCAATTTGGGGCCATTATTAAGTGAAACAAGGGTCACATCAATACAAGCACTGCAGTACTACACAGTGCATCTGATCACCGAGACGGCTACCAAAAGACTAATGGGTGGGATGCGCTGGACAAAGGGATGGCGCATGTCCCAGGCAGGACAGCGTGAGATTTCATCATGCTACTCAGAATGGTGTGCAATTTAAAATTTATGACTTATTTCTGGAATTTTCCATTTAATATTTTCAGACTGCAGTTGACCACAAGTAACTGAAACTACAGAAAGTGAAACCGAGGATAAGGGGAGACTATTGTATACAAAGAATTCTTAAAACTCAACAATAAGAAAACAAACAGCCAATTAAAAAATGGACAAACAGATAACTCACCAAAGAAGATACACCCATGGCAGATAAATATATAAAAGGTACTCTGCATCACGTCACCAGGGAAAAAAGCAAATTATGACAACAACGAACCTATCAGAACAGCAAAAATCCGAAATTCTAACACCACCAAATGCTGGTGAGGACGTGGAGCAACAGGAACTCCCATTCGGGGCTGGTGGGAGTGCACAATGGTGCAGCCACTTTGGAAGAATGTCTGGAGATTTCTTACAACACTAAACATACTGTTACCATATGCAATCTAGCAATCGTGCTCCTTCGTGTTTACCCAAAGGAGATGAAAACTTATATCCACATAAAAACCTGCACACAAATGTTTATAGCAGCTTTATTCATAATTGCCAAAACTTGGAAGCAACAAAGATGTCCTTTTAATGGATAAACTGTGGTCCATCCAGGCAACATTAAAAAGAAAAGAGCTATTGAGCCATGAGAAGACATGGAGGGACCTTCAATGCCTACTACTAAGTGAAGGAAGTTAAGGTGCAAAGGCTCCACACTGCATGATTTCAACAATACGGCATCTGGAAAAGGCAAAACTGTGGAGACAGTAAAAAAAAATCAGTGGTGGCCAGGGGTTGGCGGGAAGGAAGGATGAATAGGCAGAGCACAGAGGATTTTTAGGGTAGTGACACTACTCTGTATGATACTACAGTGGTGGATATATGCCTTTATACATTTGTCCAGACCCACAGAACGTACAACACTATGAGTGACCCCCTAAGGTAGACTGTGGACTTCGGTGATAACGTGTCGGTGTATGTTCATCAATTATAACAAATGCACCATCTGGTGGGGGATGCTGATAAATGCAGGAGTCTGTGCATGGGGGGCGGGGGGTCTATGGGACTCTCTGTACTTTCTGCTCGACTTTGTTGTAAACCTAAAACTGCTCCTTTTTTTTTGGCTGCGTTGGGTCTTCGTTGCTGCGCGCAGGCTTTCTCTAGTTGCGGCGAGCAGGGGCTACTCTTGGCTGTGGTGCGCGGGCTTCTCGTTGCAGTGGCTTCTCTTGTTGCAGAGCACGGGCTCTAGAGCTCAGGCTCAGTAGTTGTGGCACGTGGGCTCAGTAGTTGTGGCTCACAGGCTCTAGAGCACAGGCTCAGGAGTTGTGGCGCACGGGCTTAGCTGCTCCGTGGCATGTGGGATCTTTCTGGACCAGGGCTCGAACCAGGGTCCCCTGCATTGGCAGGCGGATTCTTAACCACTGTGCCACCAGGGAAGCCCCTAAAACTGCTCTTTTAAGAAGTCTATTAATTGGAAGGAAGGAAGGAAGGAAGAAAGAAGGAAGGAAGGAAGGAAAAGTCAAGGGAAAGA